TGGAAAAAGTTTAGCTAAATCAGAAAGCAGGTCTAATTAAGCAAGTTTATTCTATACCTATAAAAGGCTAAGTTAACTCACGCATGCACGATACATATAAAGCTCTCGCTCTGCCAATTGCATGCGTATGTTTCCATCTGTCATTGTCGATCGTGATTTTGGTTGACACTTCTATTATAGAGAAAGGGTGAATAGCAATATTAAAATATTTCTTCTAATTAATTTCCTTTGTGCACAAATTTGTGCACCAGGCCACTAGTATGGATATAATACAAAATATGTTAATCAACTGTTTATATTATCAATAAGGCTTCCGGTCAACTATAGGCTATTAGTAAAGTTTTGAAGGGGGGTTAACATTATACATGGATTTTTCCACTGCACAGGGGTCAGCGTCCCTAAACCCCACATTGTTCAAGGGTCACTGATCCCAGAGGTAACTGATGATCACACTGGGTGTCTCACCCAGAGCTGCAGGGCCGGAGAGCTCCGTGGCAGGTCCCGCTGGGTGCACGGTAGCCAGGAGTGCTTTGCTCCCAGGCTTCCAGCAAAGGCTCAGGCACAGCTCCCAGAGGGCATGGAAGAGCATGGGCTTGGAGCCAGGCAGACCTGAGCTCAATGCCTGCCTCAGTTTACTCATGCACACCCAATCGGACTGAGTGAGAGGATGGATAAGGTGCCTGGCTCAGTGATAGGCCTTAATAACTGCTCTTATTTTAGCTACCGTTTATTGAGTGTTTTCCATGTGCCTGACCTGACACTGATCCCTTTGCATGAGGAAACTGAGGCTTAGCATGGTTGAAGTTTCCCCCAAGAACCCACATAGCAAGAGGAGGAGCTGGACTTGACCTAACACATCACCCATAGTGCCTGCAGAGTTAAGAGGCGCGGCCTGTTTGAAAGCTCGGATTCTCAAGTCCCTCGTTGCAAGGCTCTGCTGGCATGCCATGCTGGCATTCCTGGACCCCGGGCTCCACCAGCGTTCCCAGCCCTCCCTGCGT